TAGGTATTGCGGCGGTGGAGCTGACGAAGTGGTACAAGAAGGAGGGAGATACTGTGGAGGAGGTACGCGACGCGGCTTCTTGCTTAACCCTTTTGCGTGCAGTGATGATGATATAGAATACATACTTTTCTTTTTTTTTTGTGGGTGTTTGTAAGAAAGCCATGTTTTATTGGAAGGCACAGGAAACAGACAACGCGAACTTTAAGCTGAAGGGCAATAGTAGTATAATAGTGAAGAAATAAAGAAATAAAATAATAAACTCATGCATAGCAGAAACAACTGGTGTTGCTCTGAAATGCAGATGGAAGAGGTGTGCGAAGTGCAGTCAGACAAAGCGGCAGTCGAAATCACCAGCCGATACTCCGGCAAGATCCTCAAGCTGTATGCTCAGGTAGGTCAATTGAGTGCAGAAAGCAACATAAACACTGTTTATATTAACCAGTTAAGTATTCAGAATGAGTTTTTATATAATACACTCTACTGTATGCGCAGCAGCGGAGCTGTTGATATGTAGATCGTTCATAAATGCAGCATAAGCGAGAAAAGAAATGCATGATGAGCTGTTTAATTGTATTTCATCTTTGTTTTGTTTTGTTTTGTTTTGTTTTGTTTTATTGCAGGAAGGAGATACGGTGAAAGTCGGGGGCCCCCTTATTGACATCGACTCTCCTGATGTAGAAGAAGATGCAAACGCCCACAGCCCGCCGCCGCCAGATGCAGATTCAAAACCTCCCGAGAAACCTCAGCAGCCGCAGCAGACGACAGCTGCGGCTCCCTCGAGCAGGGTGAGTGAAACGTCAGAACAAATGAAGTATGCATGCATGCATACGTATACGATGAATATACTTATGTATATAACAGACTGTTGATATGAAACACGTTTTGTTTTCATGCAAACTGACAGCTGGAACGCTTGCTTGAGTTTATTTTGTGTTTCTGAACACCCACGGGCGAAGTTTATTCTTCTGCCGAAGCATCACTTTTCGAAATTCCCTGTACCTCGGGTTTAGGGTTTAGGGTTTAGGGTTTAGGGTTGAGGGTTGATGCGCAGAGCGGAGAGGCTTTGGCTTCGCCAGCAGTACGCAGACTGGCTAAGGAGAAGGGCGTTGACTTGGAGAAGGTGAAGGGTACAGGCCCGCGCGGTGCGATAACAAAAGAAGACGTTTTGAACTTCCTCTCATCGGGGTCCTCGGGATCCTCGACTGCTGTAGGACTTGAATGATACATTTCTCTCCCTGATTGCAGTTTCAACTGCTCTGTATCTGTAAACGCACAAGAACGTATTTCATGATATCTCTGTATGTATGTTCATATCATCTGGGTGGTTGCCACTACTTCTTTATTTTTATTTTTTTCAAGCAAGGAAACGTGCGGCGCGTCGCATCGTCTGCATGCTGTTCGCGTTGCCTATCTAGGGTTTAGGGTTTAGGGATGCATACGCGGGACAGGTGCAGCCGTTGCTCTCCCCTGTTAAGCAAAACTCACGAGGTGCCTGTGAGGGTTGTGTGACTGCAGCTGCCGCAGGGGGTTTCCGCAGAGCCGCAACGCCCCAAGACCCCCCAGGGAAACCGCCAAAACCGAGAGGTCCCGCTGCAGGGCTTTTCAAAGGCAATGGTCAAAGTGAGATTTCTGATTCGTTTCT